CCTCCCCCCTCCCTCCTTCCCCTTTCCTCTCCTCTCCTGAGGATATTTTTTCCATTGATTTCTTTTTTAGGGAGAGGGTGGAAGGAAGGGAGAGACGCACAGAGAGAGAAACATCGATGTGAGACATTGGTTGCCTCCCACACTCACCCTGACTTGGGCTGGGGATCAAGCCTGCAGCAGAGGTATGTGCCCTTGACTGGGAATCTAACCTGAGACCCTTTAGTCCTAGGGCCAGTGCTCTAACCACTGAGCAAAACCAGCTAGGGCAGTAAACTTACTTTCTTGATTATTGACTTTTTCTTGCATGACTGCAAAACATTCCTTATAACAGTTTTGTTGTCTGGTTGATTTTCTTGCCATTAATCCTAACATTAGAGCAGTAGATACTGTGTCAGTGACCTATTTATGATATTTTAATTAGTTTTAAAGTCTCTGCCTAATTTTCTCTCTTGTGTTTATAATATTGTAATGTGAGCTATTAATTTAAGCACATATTTTATACACTTATTCATTCAAATAATATTTAATAAGCTTCTATGCTGGCTGTTTCATAGATGCTATAGAGGCTGTAAAGATAAACAAAATATTAATTCTTTGAGGCACTTTTATTTCTGACAGTTCAGTTTTTCTCAGTGATAGGATAAAATTATTCTGATTAATCCACATTATTGTCTCTTCCAACATGTATGTGTGGGGTAGTTTCAGTTAAGTCATGGCTTATGTAGAAGATAATTTTACCTGTGCAGAGCCAACCGCCTGGTTGGGGTTGAGTCCACGAGCCTCACTCCTTCCCTAGCGTTCAGGTCCAGAGTCTGTCTCATACGTGGCTATTCCTTTTACTCTTGGGAACTCAGTTCTTTGAGCTTTCCCTTACTCTTTGGAACTTGATTCAGGTTTCATTTTTATTGAATTACAGTAGAGTTTTGAATCATTATAATGCTGATAACTAAAACAGAAGTAACAGACCTTCTGGGAATTAAAAAAAATGAATTTCCCTGTTCTTTAGAAGTAGTATAAAGAAACCCTCGGAGAGACTTATCACTATGCAGTCGTCATAAGGTGATGTTCGTCAAAAGTTTCTACTACATTAAGTATTCAAAACGATATTTTATATGTATAATGTGTGTGTGCATATACAATATAAAATATGTAATGTGTAATATGTAATATATATATGTAATATATATTAATGTATAATACATATATATTTTGCCTATCCAATTTTCATTTTATTTAACGAATATGCAAATAATGATCTGATTCTTCATTTTTTATCAATGATCCAAAGGTTATATACTAAGTAGCTTAGGTCTGGGTTTATTTTTATTTAAGACATAGTTATTTTTAAAGTGAGGTGTGGTAACATGTTTGGATACATTTTAGATCCTTCAGGTAAGAAAATTTGGTCACATACCTGGCCATATTCTTGGGATGCAAAAGTTAACTGTTTTGGATACTAGCTTTAGGAAAGATTAACTAGGTAGATAGAACCAAAGTTAGCAACTTCAGGCTGGAGGTATTTTTAATTCTTTCAAAGCTAAAGAACATGGTTGATGAAGCTAATAAAACAATAGCTTTTATTTGACTAATTTCTACATGTTAGGAATAGTATTAATTATTTTAATATTATTTTACATGAGAAAAGTGTTGTCATTCTCATTTTAAAATTGGGGAAACTGAGCCCTAGCCGGTTTGGGTCAGTGATTAGAGCGTCGGCCTGTGGACTGAAGGGTCCCTGTTTTGATTTTGGCCAAGAGCACATACCTCAGTCCCAGGCTCAATCCCTGGCCCCAGGTCGGGGCTAGTGAGGGAGGCAGCCAATCGATGTTTCCCTCTCTCTCCCCCTCCACTCTCTCCGAAAAGCAGTGGAAAAAATATTTTCGGGTGACAGTTAAAAAATAGTAAAATAAAATTGAGGAAACTTACAAATAAAGCAGAAAAATAATTTGCCCAAGTTTATCCCACTAATAAGTAGTGGAGGCCGATTTGAATTCCCAAGGGCTGATGACCTGAGCTTGATCACAGCAATTCTCTGTGTCTTTAGAGCTGGACAGATTTGCTGCTTTGGATCCTTTTAGTGTTTTGGCTTGTTTCCCTACCCTTTATTTTCTGCTCACTTCAGTTAATACCATGAGTGAAATCAAGAAGATATCTGAAGAAGTCCTTGATAAGCAGTTGTAGAACGTCCATTTATGTTTCAAGAACACACTTGAGATCTGTTCTTATATGTATAAGATATGTAAGAAGTCCTAGATACGTGGTATAGACTTGTTGACTCATGTTTGTTGAAGTTCATTGAAGGACTTTGTGACAAAGCACTTTCTTACTCATATCGTGACTGTTTTCTGACTTGCAGGTTTTAAATGCACAGAGAGCAGGATACAAAGCAGCCATAGTTCACAATGTTGATTCTGATGAGCTCATTAGCATGGGATCCAACGACAGTAAGTACAGGTATCACTTTTCTTCTCTCCTGTTTGACAGATCTTTGAAACTAAAACTTAAGATTATCCTTCTCTCATTTTCTGTTTAAAAAGCAAAATTTCCTTTCTATCAGAATGGTGATTCACAATTTTTAGCCCTGTTGGGACAATTTTATTCATAATAGAAATGGAATTGACTTGTTCTTTTCCAAATAGTTTTTTTGTTTTGTTTGTTTTTTTAACTTACATGTTTCATTTTAGAAGATATGTTGATATTTTGGTAAAAACCAAAGGAAAACCAAAGCTTTTAATAGAGATAAACATGCTGAGCTAAGGATGCCATCAAAGAATTTTTGTGATTAGAGATTTACAATATTAAATTTTAGGGTATGAGGCTACTGTATTCTTGTGGATTTTCAAAGCCACATACTTGTGCTTTCTTAAATACCACTTGGTTATCAGCCACTTAACATACATTGGCATGCCTGTAGCTTTTCATTTATTTATTTATTTATAAAGATTTTTTATTGATTTTTAGAGAGTGAGGAAAGGAGGAGGAGTGGAGAGAGAGAAACATGGATGTGAGAGAGAAACATCGAGAGGCTGCCTCCTGTACGTCCCCTGCCTGGGATCGAGCCTGAAACCTGGGCACACGCCCTGACTGCGAATCAAACCGGCAACCTTTTGGTGCTCGGATGGGACATCAACCAGCCAACTGAGCCACACCAGCCAGGGCTAGCTTTTCATTTAAAATGGGAATATTGTTTCTTACTCTCTACTAAATATTAGCTTGTAAGGAAAATGAGCCAATTTTAATAAAATAACTGGCTTTTATCAGAAAGTAACATTTAAGCTGTGCACTTTCACTTAATTTAGTGAGAATGATAAAATATGTCTTTTATTATGTTGATGAGGTGGTATTTGGATCCCACCTAAGGATGGGGGCTGACCTTCAGGGAGGGGAGAGAGGCTGGAAGTTGAATGGATGCCAGTGGATAATGACTTAATTAATCCTGCATATGTAATGAAGCCTCCATAAAAAAACAAAAGGACAGGCTTGGGAAGCTTTGGGGTTGGGGAATGAGAGGTGCTGGGAGAGTTGGGTGCCTGGATAGGGCATGGAAGCGCTGTGCCCCTTCACATGTACCTTGCCCTGTATATCTCTTCTACCTGTCTGTTCTGAGTTATAGTCTTTCATAATACGTGGATAATTTAGAAAGTAAGATATTTCTCTGAGTTTTGTGAACTGCTGTAGCAAATTAACTAGACCCAAGCGGGAAGAGGTGTGGAACCTCCAGTCTATAGCTGGTCAGTCAGAAGCACAAGAGACACCCTGGATTTGCAGTTGGCTTCTGAAAGGTGGGCATCCAGTCTTGTAAGACTAAACCCTTAACCTGTGGAATCTGACGCTGTCTCCGACTATATAACATCAGACTTGAGTTGAATTGTTAGATGGTGTAGGGGACATACACACATACACACTGGGAATTGGGTTCTCAGAACCCAAAATACACTGCCAGCATTCATGATTAGTTATTTTTATTTTCCTTTTAGTACATAATAATGCCTCTTGTTATTTCCATTGAGTCACACCTGCAAGAAAGAGCTTGGAGCAAAGAACAGACATAAAGCAATGGCTGGAATGTATTTAAGACTTTAAATAACTACATCTTCAATAGGAAATACTTCAAATTCCTTGACAAAAATAATCTTTTTATAGCATAAGACAGTATTTTGTGTTGAGTTGAACTCTTTTCCTTCTTACCCCTAACATAACCTGAGGCAAACTTATATAAAAAGAAAAATTTTAGCAATAACTTTCTTAATTTCTTTATATTTTAAATTAGTACTTTAATATTCTATCTGATTAACTTATTGTACTTACAGAATCATGAAATACCCTTAAGAGGCTCTAGCATTTTACAAAAATTTGACAGCCACTGCTTGGGAATTAGAAGAATTGATGAAGGGATTTTACTTATCTGTGCCCTAGGGAAAGTTACTTAACCTAAGTCCTTTATTTTCTTCTGTAAAACGGAATGATTTTAATTTTTATTTGACCTGACAAGATTGTGAAGATGAGATGAGAGCAGGTATATGAGAAAGTCCATGCCATGGCAAAGTGGGAAGAACCTAGATTAGGGGTGAGAGCCTCAAGTTTGAGTTCAGGTTGTGCGAATGCCTAATTTTTCATTGCTTTCTTCCTTCAGCAAATATTTTTTGGCAGTCTATATGGAATCAAGCACTGTTTTAGGTACCATGACTATAGCAGGGATTGATACAGTTTATGGCTTTGTTCTCATACTTTTCATTGAAGTAGCAGAACACAGGAGTTTAAGGGTCTGATTTCTGGGGACTATCTGCCAGGGTTTCAACCCCAGCTCTACCACTTACTAGCTGTGTGACCTTCGTTACATTACCTAACATCTCTGTGCCTCACTTTTCTGATCTGTAAATGAGAATAATAATAATATTTAACTCATTGGGTTGTTTTGAGGATTGAATGAATTATGACATATAAAGCATTTAGAAGACTGTCTATTATTATTGCTGCTGTTACCATTATTACTACATTCTAGGGTAGGAGAGAGGAAATGAGCACAAAGAGATATGCTATATGACAAGTAGTAACAGGTGCTATGAAGAAAAGTGTGTTAGGCTAAAGTGATATAAAGTGACAGGGCCAGGCTGGGCATGGCTCTGCAGCTGAGCATTGACCTAGGATCCAGGAGATCGAGGTTCGGTTCCCGGTCAGGACCCATGCCTGGGTTGTGGGCTCAATCCCCATTTGGGGGTGTGCAGGAGGCAGCCGATTGATGACGACTTTCTCATCATTGATGTTTCTATCTCTCCTCTCTCTCCCTCTCCCTTCCCCTCTACGAAATCAACAAAGATATTTTTTTTAAAAAAAATTATAAAGTGACAGGGATGAGAATAAGGTGGCTATTTTATTTTTAAAAATTTTTTTAAAAATATATCTTTATTGATTTCAGAGAGAGGAAGGGAGAAGGGAGAGAGAGAGAGAAACATCAATGAGAGAGAGAGTCACTGATCGGCTGCCTCCTGCACCCCCTACTCGGGATCGAGCCCGCAACCCGGGCATGTGTCCTGACCGGGAATCGAACCTCAATCTCCTGGATCCTAGGTTGATGCTCAACCACTTAGCCACGCCGGCCCCACAAGGGTGGCTGTTTTAAATAGGGTGGTCAGAGAAGACATCTGTGTATGAGTCTTTGACATTTAAGCCTAAGTCTAAAGTGAGAGGCTGAGCCATGCCTCTCACTCTTCTGGGGGAGGAGTTTTCCAAGGAAAGGAAGCAGCAAACAGATGCCAAGGCTCAAAGATAAAGCATACTTGGTGTTTCAGGGTGTGGGAGTGGCTGGAATTGATTGAGCAAGGGGCAGAGAGAATGGTAGGGGGTGAGGTTAGAGAGGGAGCCAGGGGCCAGATCATGTCCAGGTCTGTAGGATTTTGAAATTTGTTTTGCGTGGCTTTTATACAGGGGTGTGAGGTGATCTAACATGTTTTAAAATGACCACTTTGGCTGTGATTCCTTTTGAGAATAGACTACAGGGAAAAGGTGGGCAAGAGTGCCAGCAGAGTTAGAATGTTGCTGCAGCAGCCGAGCAAGAAGGGATGGTGATCTGGAATGTTAGCAGCGATTGTGTCGAGAAGTGATAGAATTATGGACCTGTTTTGAATTTGATAGGATTTATTATGAGGAATAAAGGAAAGGGAGGAGTCTAGGATGACTCCCAGATGTTTACCCTGAGAAACTAGGTGAATAGTTAGCTATTTACAGAGGTGAGAAAGACTAGGAGTAGAGCAGAGACATTGAGAGTCCCACTTGAAGACATTAAATTTGAAACATGTAGGCAATCAGGTGGAGATATCAGACAGACACTTGGATCTAGAGAGGGTGGGGCTGGCCATTTAAATTAGGATTTGTCTGTGATTATCATGATACTACTCTTTGGCAGTGTATACTTCATGGAGTTGTTTTGCTCATCAGAATTAAAATTTCGTGTTTTTAAAAGTATCTTGTGAACTAGAACATGTTTTCAGTAGATAATGTTGCAGTCTCCAATACGGCTGTTCATATTTGCATACATCACTATCCCTCTTCTTAGTCTTCTGACTAAAATGAAGAGCTTTTTACATCTCTTTAGGTATCATAAGTCAAAGAAGTTACGTTACTTTCAATAATTATAAGCCAGTAATTACAACCCAGAAGTTTCTCTTTGAGTTTATCAGAGTATCTTCATGAAAGAGTAAAACATTCATTTTACAAAGGGTATATAATTCCAAGTTTAAATTATTGTATAAAGTGTCAACTATGTGATAGAAGATTTCTTAGCAAGGTAGAAAATATCTCCATAAAATGTGTATGATTATATCAATACCTCCGCAGCTATTAAAAATGAGGGCTGAATCTTTATTCGCATGACAGGATCTCCAAAGTGTATCCCTGGGTGGAAGGGAAGCTTACACTGTTCTCATTGTATGAGCCCACTGGTGTAAAAATAAGCATTTATTGATCCCATTGATGTAAAAATAGTGACAGAATATTCCTTTACTAACCATTTTGGTTCCTGCCTTCCTGGGGCTTATGTGGGTGTGTGTGTGTGTGTGTGTGAGAGAGAGAGAGAGAGAGAGAATATGAATGAATGAGAAGGATTTAAAAAAACACATTAGTGGTTGCTGAGGTTGGGGCAGAGGGGATTATTTTGAGGGGCGAAAGAACATTCTATATCTTGATTGTTGTAGTGGTTACATAATTACATGTATTTGTCAGAACAAAGGTGCCCTGGTCAGGTGTCTGAGTGGTTGGAGCACCATCCCATGCATTGAAGGGTTGTGGGTTCAATTCCTGGTCAGGGCTCATACCTAGGCTGTGGGTTCAATCCCTGGTGGGGCATGTTTGGGAGGCAGCTGATCGATGTTTCTCTCTCTCATTGATGATGTTTCTCTCCCTCCCTCCCTCTCTCTAAAATCAATAAACAAAACAAAATAAAACAAACCCCCCAAAAGTTTATTCAAATAAAACCTTTGTCTTTGAGTGGAAAGGATTAGGGTTGTGTTCTGTTTTCTTCTTTACTTGTGTTCTCCCCCCCTTTTAAAAATAATTAATATTCATTCTTAAAGAAATGTAGAACAAAGTTATTGTGAAAAATAAAACAAATGGGCTTTACCTAAAGCCAAATCTGTTAAATTAGCTCACAGCTGAAAATAAGGCTGCTGTTTCTATAGTAACATTAAGAGAATTGTCTTTGTTTCTCTGAGTAATGGGTAATTTTTACAAAGTTTTTGTTTTGCTTGTTTTTGGCATTTGGTTTTGTAATATAGGTATAAGGGTCAAATTTCTTAGGAAACCAATCAAAACACACAGCTTTACCACAAACGTCAGGAGTAGGAGGAAGTAGAAATTTACCCAGCTTTTCTGTCGTATGCCTTTCTCAACTCCTGCCAGCCCTCTCGCTCTGGAAAGCCGCACATGTGTGCTGTCATTTTTCAGACTGTTGTGAAGTGGTCTTTTCTTACATTCCTAGGCTTACACCTCTCCTGGGAATGGGTATGTAAAAAAAGTTTTTTCACTTTCTCATTGAGGAATTAAGTGTGGAAAGAAAACTTAAAATTTCTTTTTCTTCCTTTTCTAAGAGTTAATTATGCCTTTAAAGGGTAAGTCAAATGGAAACATTAAAAATAATTATATTCTGATCTCAGGACTATTGAGATAGTATGATAATGTATATAAGCAAAATGTTAACTTTTGTTATTGTAAATATAATATCTCTAAGCCACTTTGATGATGATATAAATCTACAATTGGGAAAATCAACAAATACACAATTTGAGTTGATTGAAACTGTTTCCAGTTGCATTTGCTGCTGTTATGAAGAAAATTACTTGATTGTACATTAAGTATATATAGGCTTTTAAGAATAATTTTATTGTTTTTATACAGTTGGTGTGCTAAAGAAAATTGACATACCATCTGTCTTTATTGGTGAATCATCAGCTAATTCCCTGAAAGATGAATTCACATATGAAAGAGGGTAAGTAATGGATATAAAAAATAATCATGTAGCTATTAGTTAATAGCTGTAATCAAGGTTATAATTTAGAATGCTCTATTGTGCTAAATTATCTCAAGTCATTGTGATTTTAATACTTACTAATTGTACTATTCTGTGTATGGTTACATATTCAAAATATCTTCATGTTAGAGAGATTAAGTCACCCATTTGTTAAAAAGATAACAAAACTTTTTTTATAGTTTAATCAAACTATTGGTATTTAGAAACAGTGTGATGAACATTTATATGACACTTTTCATTAAGACATATTGGTATTTTATTACAATTTGTTATTTTATAAACGCAATCCAAAACACAGTGTCTTAAGTAACTAACTTTTACAGAGACAAAAAGTTTGTAAGTTTAAAAAGTTTAATTTGGAATAAAAACTTCTATATGGAATTTCCCCTTCAAATCTCATTAGCAAGTTAATATATAGACTGAGACTAACTTAAGGCACAGCTTTGTCATCTAATACAGAAAACACTGCAATCAGCACTTCAGAGCTTCTTCCCTGACACAGATCCCATCCCTAAAACACAGTGATAGGCGCAGGCTTTTCACCAAGAGGCACAATAAGAACACTACTACTAATAAAAGCAGTGAGATTGATTGCATATTTAGCAAGTGCCAGGCACTCATGAAACTTTTACATTTGTTATCCATTTAATTCTTACAATAGCCCTCTAGAGGTTTTTGTATCTCTTATTATCTACATTTGCCAAAAGGGGAAACTGGAACAATGAAATTCTAATTATTTAGGGGGAATAAATCCATGAATATTTGAGTTTGAAGATGCATAAGAGGGTTTTCTGTTTACCGTTTTTGCCATTTTCCCTATTTAGTTTTGATATTTAAAATATGGTTCATATATGCTCATAATGTCTTATTAAGTTAGGGGATGCAATTTTGGATGTTGTGTTACAAGTAGTTAATCCAGATGCTATTGTATTGTGTCAGCCATGTTTGTGTAGTTAATAGAGGGGGAGAACTAATATTTGCTTTTACCTCAATATTGTTCCCCCATTTAGAACAATTATGTGTATTTTAATATGCATTTTAGAGTTGTGTTTTAGTTATAAAATCATACTTTTGTTGTTGTTGATCCTCACCCAAGGATATTTTTTCCATTGATTTTGGGGCGGGGGGAGAAACATACTGATGTGAGAGAGACCCATTGATTGGTTGCCTTCCTCACATGCCCCCTGGGGCCAGGGATCGAACCTGCAACCCAGGTATGTGCCCTCGACTCGAATCGAACCCAGGATCCTTTGGTATGACACTCCAACCATTGAGCACACCGTCCAGGGCTAAAGTCATACATTTTTAAGTTAAAAAGTAACACATACATGTTGGTAAGCTATGGAACAATTCGGAAATATAAAGTATTTAAATGAGATTTCCTATGATGCTATTCTCTAACAATAGCTACTGTTTTAAGAAACCTTTAATTGTTCCCATATTTGAATACTCACGTCAGTTAGTGATAATACGCTCATAAAACACAACTATAAAATACATAGTATCTTGTAACAAGCTTTATTTACTTAATATTTGGACCCTTTCCATGTTAATACAAGTCTACAAATTTTTTTATCCCAACTCTTGGGGAATTGAACATTTCTTAGATTTTTAAAAGTTAAGTAGTATTCCTAATAGGATTTGAGGGAGCATCCGATAAATTATATACAGGGTTGGTAAAGTAGGTTTACAGTTCACATGAAAAAATACAAATTAATAAATAATAACACAAGAATAAACTCTGTGTTTTGTGTACTCACAGTTGTAAACCTACTTTTGTTTACCCCGTATGTCTGCAGTGAATAAGTATTTTATCACGTCAGTTCAGTTCAGATTGCTTATCAAATGAATTGCAGACATTATTTTTAAAGTTTTTTTAGGTTTCAGAATTGTGTCTAAGGGACTGTAGACTTGAACATACAGATCTGCCTCATACGTCTTTTGGCTGGCCTGCTTACCTACCTACCCACACATTAATTTCTTCTGCTTTTTGTTATAGTAACTTTCAAACATGTTTAAAAGTAGAGAGAGACTATAATGAATCTCATCATTCAAGTTCAGTATTATCAACTCACGATCAGTTTTGTTTGGACTACTCACCCTCTGGCCCCACCTCTCCTCCCTTTTTCCCCACCCCATGATTACTTTGAAGCAAGTCCCAGATATCATTTCAGCTGTAAATATCTCAGAATATATCAGTAGAAGATAAGGTGATATATAAAATATAACCACATTATCATTATTATACCTTGTTTAAAAAAGTAAACATTAATTTAGTATCAAAACATTTCAGTTTTCAGATTTTTCCCAACTATTTGAAATCCTGTTTTTAAAAATATTGTTTATATTCCAAATAATGTCCATACACTGAATTGGTTCTTATGTCTTAAGTTTTTAAGTTTGTCCTGTGAATTTTCTTGCAGTCTGGACTTTTTTTAATCCTTGGGTATGTCTAGACTATTTCTTTGTTACTTAGTTTCCCTCTAAACTGCTAATTAGATCTTGAGGTTTGTTCCAATTTAAGAGTTATTGGGAGCCTGGGAGAATAGGTAAGGCAAGAAGGCTTTATATACGGTATTATGTATTTCCAACAAGAGACACAATATTTGGTTCTATCTTTGTAATTTAATTTTATAATTTTTCCCTCATTTATTAGGACTTGCACCACCCATTTGGGTAGGTCAGTTGATTAGAGCATCGTCCAGATACACCAGAGTTGTGGGTTTGATCCCCAGTCAAGGCACATACAAGAATCAACCAATGAATGCATAAATAAGTGGAACAACAAATTGATGTTTCTCACTCTCTCTTTCAAATCAGTAAATAATTAAAAAAAGAAGACTATTACCTTATCAAATATTTGATTACCTTGAAGTGCAATCTGTTTAGGAAAGATAGGAAAAACACTTGATTCTTTCCCTTTACTGTTTTTCAGAATGATTTGGTTTGCTAGCATCTTCCAAAGATGATTTTATATGTATATATATATATTTAAAGTATCATAGTGAACTCATGAGTTAAAATCTATTTCGTATGTTTCTGTCCATTCTAGTTAATATCTTTATTGATTTCACATTGACCCCTTTCAGACCTCTTCAAGTTTAATCCTGATTTCCTTTGATGGGAGTCTAGGAGCTTTTGATTGCTCCTTGGGTTTTTTTTGTGCTTGACTAGATATTCCAAGCCCATCTTGTTCTTTTCATCCCTCTAACCTGGAACCCCTTCTTTCGTCAAGGTCTGATTCCTTTTAATTGGTTATGACATTCAGAGACGGGAGATCATTGCTCCTGGGTTTGTCATTCTTTCTAGGGCTTTTCAGTGGACAGAGCTAGGAAATATGTATGATTTTATTTGTTTTGTTATGTTTTGTTTTAATCCCCACCTGAGAATATATCTTTTATTAATTATGGAGAGAGATACATTGAGGTAAGAGAGAAACATCAATCAGTTGCCTCCTATATGCACCCTGACCAAGGATCAAACCCCCTAGATATGTGCCCTGACCAGGAATCGAACCCAAACCTTTTGGTGAACAGGGTGAAGCTCCAACCAACTGAGTCACTCAGCCAGGGTATCTGTGTTTTTAAAGATACAATAAATCATGAGTGCATACTGTTATTTCCAATATAACACAGGGCTGTAGGATTTTTACTTTACTTTGTGGGTGTTACATCTGTATTTTATTTTTCTGTGCTTGAAGACACCAATATAGTTATTTTCTTTTGAAATGACATAATACACACAGAAGAACAATATCAACACTACTTTGAACATTTATAAAAAAGAGTTCTTTCTCTGCTTAAGGTATAATAAGGATGTACAGGCAAATTATGTTTTTTTTTTAATTTATTTTTATTGACAGTATTACAGATGTTTCCCATCCCCCCATCCCCTCCACCCAGCCCC